AAATGAAAATCTCGATGAGGAGGTCTATATGGAGCAACCCGAAGGGTTTGTTCTACCTGAAAATGAACATAAGATATACAAGTTAGTAAAATCCTTATATAGTTTGAAGTGGGCACCTAAGAAATGGCATGAGAAGTTTGACTTAGCTATAACATCACTCGGATTTAAATATAATAGTGTAGATAGATGTTTATATTCTAAAGTGTATTATGATTATGTGACATATATATGTTTATATGTTGACGTCATGTTAATTATGAGTAATCACATGGACGATATAGAAGAAACAAAGAGGTTTCTATCTTCCACATTCAAGATAAAGGATCTTGGTCAAGTGGATACCATTTTAGGTATCAAAGTCACAAAGACTAGTGGGAGTTATCATCTAAGTCAATCACATTATATTGAGAATGTGATAAACAAGTTCAAACACTTGAACATAAAAGAATATAGTACCCCGGTTGATCCAAGTTCAAAACTTGTAAAGAATGATAGAAGGGCGATTGCTCAATTGGAAGATGCTAGTGTTATAGGAAGTCTTATGTATGTAGTTCAATGCACAGGACCAGACATAGTCTATGCCATAAGTAAACTTAGCAGATTTACTAGCAATCCGAGTAATAATCATTGGAAGACTATTGTGAGAGTTCTTGGATCTTAATGAAAATCAAGAACTTAGGCCTGCAATATACTAAATTATCGGCAATATTGGAAGGATTTATCGATGCTAGTTGGATATCTAGCACGGGTAAAAGTAAATCCACCTCAGGTTGGGTGTTCACTCTAGGAGGAGGTACTGTTTCTTGAAAATCAAATAAACAAACATGCATAACACACTCGACCATGGAATCTAAATTTGTAGCCCTATCGAATACTAGGAAAGAGGCTGAGTGACTTAAGGATTTTTTTTATGAGATACGTTTGGGATCGAAGAATATTTCTTCAATACCTATCATGTGTGATAGTCAAGCCACATTAACAAAAGCATACAACGGAAAGTCTAGACACATGAGTCTTAAACATAACTATATAAGTAAGTTAATCAAGGATGGAATAATTTCTCTAAATTATGTAAGGTCAATTGAGAATTTGGCGAATCTTTTGACTAAACCTCTAAACAGAGATTTAGTAGAATCTACTTCAAGTAGGATGGGGTTGAAACTCCTTAACTAAAAAGGTTCACCAATAACAACAACCCTACCTGTCATTACTCAAAAGGTAATTTACGGGTTCAAAGGGTAACAATAAGTCATTTGATATGTGAATAGTTGCAGCATTATTAAAAAATCTGCAATAATCCCATCCTAATTAAATTAATGCTGATTCTTACTGAAATGAGGGATGAGTTTTAAGTTCTTAATGAAATTCAGTGCTAAAACACAAGTACCTCTAAAGGTAACAAAGGTACTGGAAGAACTTCACCTAAACAATCTTCAAGGCGGTGCCGCCTTAATAGGGAGTTAGAGTTTCTCTCTTAAAAGATTGTTGAAAAAGATAAACGCAAGGTCATAAAAGCACTAAACGAATTATGAGGAACTTGAGAACACGTGGTACTCGTGTGTGTGTTCTTACAAGGATTGTCATATGAAATAACTGGTTCAAAGCTACACGCTACCTTTGATTCCGACTATACTTTGTTTGAATTACACTATAGTAAGATTCAAATCGAAAGATATATAATCCTTATGCATGAGTATCGTATATTATGAATATGAGACGTGTTAATTTTGAACAAGTGAGGAATTGATGTAATAATGTTGTTCAAAATCAACAACAACAATAAAAAAAATAATAAATAAATAAAATTGGTCCATGCGACCGCATGGCTAATGCGGAGACCAAATGGTCTCGGCATGGGCAAACCATGCGTCGCATGGTGCATTTATTTGGCCGTTGGAAGCCGTTTTCTCCTGTTGTAAATTCAAAATTGGTGCTTTTTGACTTAAAGTTTGGTACCATTTCGTGAATGTGGTATATGCCTATATATATTGGATCCATGTTGAAGGCAAACACATTACAAAATATCAAGGTTCCATATTACTTCTAAAATTAAAGATCAAAGTCTTTAAAAACCATATTCATATTTATTTTTTGTGTTCTTCAAGTTTTCTAGGATTTGCACTTGTACTTTGGTGTTTAAATCCTTGTAAGACTTGTTATAATTCTGCAAACCATTTGCCAACAACCTTCGAAGCATCTCAAATTCATAGGAGAAGGGGAAATATCGTTTGAGGACAACGATATCGTGTTCAAGTCATTCATTTATATAAGTTCGAGATTATCTTGTTTTTTACGTTTTCAGTTCATATTTTGTGTTCTCTACTCCAATCCGGTGAATTTTCTCCAACAATATAAATCATCTACATTGAGTTCTACAATATTTTGAACACTGCTACAGATGCATGCACACTCCATTATTCATACACTAGACCACTCATGAGTAGCAACAATTTAAATAAGTGTCCAGAATTGAGATCAATGGAAGATTGACTAAACTTTAAAGAGAAAAATCATGGTTATGTCAAACCATTGTTGTCAAACCAATACAATGGTCTTCTACTGCCAACATAATATTCCATCCTAACGATTGAGAAATTACTCCGTCTGATGAGTTCCAGAAACTTTCCCCAATTCTTTTCCGAATGATGCCGGAATTTTGTCCATGCTTGCCGTTTATCCCTTTGTCCCAATCTCATGGCAATAAAACCTCTCGCATTCTTTCCAGGTGCTCTACTCTAAGAAAAATAAAACATAAATAGTAAAATGGAATAAGATTTGGGAGTTCTATAGTTAGAGTTCATCAAATTTCCCGAAACATACTCTCCATTAAATAACATAGAAAGTTATATCCACACAATACTAAGATGAAATCAACTGACAACCAAGTTGTGAAATTTCAATTGGAGAATAGGTATAAACTCCAGTGATTAGTGACTAGACCTTAATGTATAGAATGCCAAAAGAAGCACAAGAGCAGGGGTGGAACCAGAGACTTCGGACTATGGGGTCAAAAATGAAATTTTTTTGGAACAACGTATCATTAACGAAAATAAATTCATAAGATTAATGGATTGAAGTGGATAATTAATTGGAATTTGAAACCCCAAACCCAAATAACCGTTTCAGCAGCAAAAAGTTAAAAAAAAAATGGAAAAAATGGGGAAAAAAAACTGTGGGGTCATTTGACCCCACATGACGCCATGTGGGTCTGCCCCTACACAAGAGGGGGAAAATGAAGAATTAACTCACATTCTCACAAGGTCTTAAAATCACCATTATATCATGTGAGGCCATGGCCACAAAATCATCATTTGTGCAATGTTGCACCCATTTCTTCAATTGCAGATCCGACCTGTCTTCCCCATTTTCAATAGAGATTTACTGATCAAAAGTTCGGATTCTTCGTCTAAGGCTCCGATTAGGCTTCCATTGGGGAAGCTTTTGTGACTTTATTTGTTGATTGTAGCTTGAAATCGAGAATTAATGGAGAAATTGTAGTGATTTTATCCCTTGTTTGAGCCCCATTATGGAAGAAAGAATGAATTTTTGATCAGTGTATTGATAGGAAATGTGTTGTTAAAAAATAAGGAAAAGTTTTAAATTTGGGTGTAATATTATTTTATTGAAGAAAGTGTGATTGAAATAATGTCAAAATACTGTTGAAAAATGTATTTTTTCAAAAGAATGGAACTCAAACAAGAAAGAGTTTTTGGAGCCCGATGCGTAGAGGGAGAAATAGTGTTTGATTGTGATTGGAAAAGTGAGAAATATATTTTAAATATGGTTAATATCTCATTTGTAGGATCTGATTTCACATGGTATATTTTAGTCCTAACTATTCAAAGTTGAACGTGCAATTTGCACATTATTTTAAAATATTTTATAAGTAATGTAAAAATAATATTTGGTACCAATTTATTGGAGGATTTGAGAAGTCTCAAACGAATTAAGAAAATATAATTTAACATAAAAACTTAAGATAAGAAAATTGTACTTAAATTGTACTCTCAAAACTCAATTTCTATGATTCCAATTTTTTGTAATGTTGAAATACTATAAATGAGTAATTTTCTTATATTATATTTGATACATAAAAATTAATTGTTAATACATAAATTTAAACACTCATTAAAATTTTTAGATACATGAATATTAATAAATTCATCAATAATAATTCTAAATCATGTAATTCAAGATTCATCAAGAGAAAATTCATTGAATCTAAATTAATGTGAATGTTAATTAATTGAGAATCAATAACACAAATTTCATAAATGACAATAATTTTATAGTATTTCTTACATATCGAAATATGAAGAGTAAGATATTATTGAAATAATTGAATTGTAGGAGAGTTAAAATCGTCTACAAAATGATTCTCCTTTAATGTGATATTTTAATATATTATAGATTTAGTGTCTATGATCTCATAATTATATATTTATTATTTTGAATTATCACCTCATTTATGAAAGTATTTTGTTAGGAATTATTCTTGTTGTACACTGCCAAATACATAAGAGTGTTCATAATGGGCCGCAGGCGCCAAGTGTCCATTATGAACACCCTTTATGTACCCCTCTATGTATACTAAGGCATCGAGTGCTCGTTATGAACATCCTTTATGTACCTGTCTATGTATACCGAGAATAACACTTTTGTTAGAATGTTAATTGTCATTATGAACACCCTTTATGTACCTATCTATGTATACCGAGAATAACACTTCTGTTAGAATGTTAATTGTGAAATATGACGTATTGGTCCTGAATTGAGTTGCACGTTTTGTTGTCTGGGTTTGGCTCAAAACTGACCCAGTCCAACTAGTGTACACATTCGTACGTTAAAACATAATAATTAACAAAATAATTTCTGGATCTTATAATTATTTTGCTACCAAACTTGCACAGTATAGTAAGTATATATTCACTCCTGCAATTGCATTAACTATTCTTCTTTTTATTGATCTATGCCACTTAAATGCCATTCAGTGTAGGGACTGCTGTTAGATATCACAATAAATAATAATAATCCAATCTTGCATAGTATTTCAACAGTCATCTTCGATCCATTCAGTGTAGGGATTGGTGTTAGATATCACAATAAATAATAAAAATCCAATCTTTCATAGTATTTCAACCGTCATCTTCGACCCTTGATCAATACCAAATGACCTTCCAGTTCTCTCTCTACACTAATGGAAATTTGCATACGTGCATTTATAACAGTACCGAATATTGGCCTATTGGGTCATAATTTTCTCTATATAATGTAGTTATCTTTTTTGGGTACTTGCCCAAAATTGGTTGCTCAAATCAGAGATGGACAGTGAAGGTTATTGTACCGATACCATTATAGAGCGGCGGAGGAAAGAGAGAGAAAATTTGACAAATTTTTCGTGTATATCGCCGCGGTTGATTCTTTCGCGGTGGTTCAGTGGGGAGAACTTGAGGAGTTCAGAGAAGACGGGGAACAGAGGAGAGAAAAATGAGAAGGGGTGTGCAAGATTTGACGTGAAGAGCAAAAATAAGGCTGTCAAGTGTTCAATGAAATGCCACTCATCTGCTTCTTCTTCCCCAGAAGAGCCAGGTAAGTTTCATTAAATCAAAACTGGATTGATTATTTTTCAAATTTGGAGTCAGTTTTTTTTCCCTCCTATTTTTTGATTTTTAGTTTGGTTGATTTTTATTTCAGTCTCCATCTCGAATAAGTGAGATTGTTGCCAGTTTCTTTCATCTTTAAATGTAACCAGAAAAATGGTACACGTATTCAGATAAAACTGGGATACACGAGCTTGTTTGGCTTTGCTTAAAAGTAGGAATGTCAAATGGGTCAAAAGGCTCGTTAAATCCCGGCTCGTGGGCGGCTCGGGCTCGTCAAATGACGAGTCCGAGCCCCAGCCGAGCAGGGGGTTCGATCCTACGAGCCGTGGACTCGGAAAAAAATATGAAAATTAATAAAAAAGGTCCAAAAATGTGAAAAAATTAAAATAAAAAAAATCACAAGCTCGCATGCAGCTCATGGGCTCGTAGGTTAAAGGGACGGCTCGACCCATTGCCATCACTACTTAAAAGCCAAAAATGCTAAAATAGGGACAGTTTCTTTTTTATTTTGTCAGCATTTTTGGCTGTTAAGCTAAGCCAAACGTCTCATTATTTGTTTTTGTCATATCTAATTCCTTGGGAATCGCTTGTAAAGAATGAATTGTGTAAATATATGCCAAGAATAGTTGCCTCCGACATAACATGACGGCAGTTTCAGGACATTAGGAAACCATGGTATACTATGTCAAGAAAACAAACTTCTTGTCTGTCCATCAATTAACAATGGACAGGATATATTTTTTAAGGTCTCACGTTTCTATATTTCATATTATCACGGTCCTTCTCTCAATTAAAGTTCCAAGGAAAAAATGCATTTGGTGATTTCTATGTATTAATCACATATACAGCTATTGCGAATGCTTCATTTTGGGTTCTTTGATACTCTTCTATTTATAATCAATGCCAAGAAATAGACTTTTCATTCCTTATCTTTGATCGTTTGAGTTTGGTTGGGTGTCTCTTTCCAGTGACAGGATTTGAAATTAGCATTAGTTCTTGGATAATGCTTTTAGTACATTCCTTGTTGACATCAAGTTTGACATCCCCCTATGTGTAGGAAATCTGACCATTGATTGGAAATACTATTGTTAAAATCAATGTACAAAAATCTGCCAACTCAATTGATGTCAAATTTGATATACATGTAGCGTGATTGTTAGTTCTTATTAGGTTAGAAGTAAAACATATAATGCTGTTCTTGTAAGATGCGATAGTAAATGTACTCGTCATAAGTCATCTGATTTTGGTTTCACATATGCCAGTCGACTGATTAAGGAAAATAGATATGTGACAACTTGTTGGTTGTCCAGTCTAATCCATGATCATTCTTCTATTCCAAACATGTCATTAGTGTATTGGCCAGAATCTATTGGATGTTCCGTATGATCATGGCATTTAATTTCTTGCTAATCTGCTCTCATCTCTTCGTTACAGAGTTCCACGCTAAAACTCAAATTTTGTTTATATTTGTTCAGCAGTCCATGCAAAAGAGGCCTCTTTCAACCTTGGAATTGGATTTGGTCTAATTTATCTCATTGCTGCAAGCCGAAATGAACTTAGCCAAATGGTGGAGTTGCACAAACAAATGAAAATGCTGCTTCAAAATTTGCAAACAGAATTCAAAAATCAAGAGAGCGCATTGTTAGTTCCATCTGAGTCCAGAATTTCTAGCTCTTTCTCCAAAACGGGTGCCCAAGAAGTTTTGTGCACTAAGGAAAATGCTTCTTATCAATATTCATCTTCGAATGACATCAAAAACTCGGAAGTTGCTCTAGGCTGTAGTCAGTATCCATACAAGAAGATATACAGACGAGAAAGAAGTTTAACAATGGATCAGCTTGAAGCAGAACTCGAAGATGAATTTTGTCGTCTGCAACTCCACATGGATAAAGAGTCCATGTTGGAGTACAAAAAGCAGCAACTTATGGAGGTATGTCACATTATATTCCTTTCTTTCTGATGTTTTCTTTTAACTGCAGCATTTTGTCTTTTCCATAATATTCCTCTGCTTTCTGATTTGCATAAAATTATGCATTTTTAGTGGGTAAAGAATATGAAATATGCAATGAGGCTATTTATTTTATTGATTTTATACTCACAAATCATAAAAGGTTCCGTATTCTCATCCATATTGCATATGTCTGCTACTTCTTGACTATAATTTCATTGTTTTGCATCTAATTTTCTAGGACCGATATTCACCTTTTTGGATTCTAATAACATCATTCATTTTCGACTATGTTGCTCATCTGAATCTTTGTATCTTCATTCTGGCAGATTAATCTAGAGGACACCGCACCTGAAGAGACCCTCAGTACAAGCTCTAGAGAAATTATCGAGCAGCCTGAGTCTAGAGAATACTATGGAGTTCATCCTGGCGAGCTTGCATGTAGATTGCACGAACTTCTAGAAGAAAGGCAGCAAGAAAGGATAAAAGAGCTTGAATCAGCTTTAGAATGTGCAATGCACAAGCTTCATGAGAAAGAAAGAGAAGTCTCTTGGTGGAAAGACACTGCGACATTGCTAAGCCCATTCCAGTCAATGGCTTGTCAAAGTAGGCGTAAAATCCCAAGCCAACTTCTCGAATTTTGAGATTTCGGTCAGTACCATGGAACTGCTTGGATGGTATCTTGTTCTATGCCATGTTTTTCCTATCTTTAGTTTATTACTACTTTTTCAATGTACATTTCATATGTTGGGATAAGCCACTGTTCTCGTTGCTCGTTTAAAAATAACGATTATATGATAGGCACTTTGCTGTGATTCCTTCGGAACTTTCATGTAGTATTTGAATGTATTGATATTTACCTGAGGTTTTTCATTATAAAAATGCTTATAAATTTATATAGCCATTTCAAATTGGATTGGAACAGTCAAGTTATATTTTTTATTTTCTTTATTTGTTGGCATTGTGGCTTAGGTTATAATACTATCTTTTATTACTGATATTATTTTATTCTGCAGTGGAAACCTAGTTGATCAATAAATGTAACTTGGTAGATGAAATTCGGTTGAATACTAATTTAGTAATATTGTGAGGTAACAAGAGATTTATATGAAAAAAATGTGATTTGTTTACAATAAAAAATTGCATAACTTGCACATTTTGATGGTGTAATATTACACGAAAATTCATTTGGCATTAGATTTCCTATACAAAAATTGACCTTGAGAAACTATAATATCATCTTATCTTCTCTGGAAGTTGAATGATATGGTAGAGTAGGCAAAGCTGAAAGTGAAAAGAGCAACAAATCCAAGAATTACAGTAGAAACTACTCCTAGAAACTCGTGTCTGAACCCAAACTAATTTCTCAGGAACTCTTCCACTGTTGAGCCTATCTTGAATATCTTCAAAGGGGAATGTGGAACCAACAAGGTGCAAGTGACTAATGTTGCTCAGTAGTATCATCTCCACCATATAAGGATCCTCTGTTATTAACAAGGGAAATGTCAATCAAAGTTTTCTTGAATTCATGCTCATCTTAAAGTAAAATGTGATGTTGCTTACTGATTGAGGTATAATGAATCCTGAGAACAGATTCCAAAGGACACAAAAGAGAGATGATATAATGGCGGCAACATTGTGATTAGAGGTTACAGCTACTGTCATCACACCTTAAAAGGATGTAGACAAGGAGAAGAAGAGGAAAAGCAAGAACCATAAGAATTTCGATACAGTCCATTCAAGTCCCATCATGAATAGATTATGAAGAAAGGATGCAGGGCATAAATGAAATGAATACGAATGAGCGAAATTTACAAGAATATGGGGGTCAAATATGTAAGAGTTGAAAAGTTGTATTTGAAACTACTAGAAAATATTTGTATAGAATCTAAACAGATTTTGTCCCAAAAAGGATAGGAAGAGAAAAAGACATGTCTTTTAAAAAAAGGACAAACATATTGTAGAAGTAGCCACCACTTGGCACAATCTCGTTATTTTAATAATTCGAACTTTGAGGATAATAAAAATATAATTAAATAAAATAAATGCTAAATTACTACTCCAACAAGATAATACTGTGTTGGGAAAAGCCCAAGCTGACGTCCTACGATTGTGCTCGAGCTCGGTCTGACGATCTGCTACAGTAATCCGAAATTGATACCTCTTTGGACCTCCAACCCAAACTTTAATTATACATAGAAAGTGATACCTGGCTTCTAATTTTAATGTGGGACAAATGGTGCTTAATTTTTCCCCATTTCCAACTCTAATAATTTCAAGTTAAAGCACTTCATTTTCACCAATTTCTCAGGTATCCGAAATTGATTTCCACTTTTGAGAAACTATATATACCAAGTTATTCTACTTGCAGAGTGGAATATGGTGGTTTGTAAGGGAGAGGGGAAGAGGTGGTGGAAGGAGGGTGGGTAAAAGGGTGGGCGGAGTTGGTTGAGAAAAAAGATATATATTTTTTTTTAATTTCAAATGAAACTCATTTGCACTTTATAATAAAATTTAGAAGCCTTAATGCAATTTTATTTTATCTTCTGCCCTTTTTGTTTCATAATTTTACTAGACCCTAGAGGAGGAAATGAATGACAGAGACGATTTGCCTAACGTTTGATGGATTTAAAGGTCCAAAATTGAAATAATATAAACAATTTGCAAAAAACACAAACTATAAGAACGTTCTATGCCAATTATCCTAAATTAAACCATTTATATATTCCTCTGAACCGATGAACATGTAGATAATTTGTCCAGTATAGGCTCAAAAATATTGCGAATGGCAGTTATCTTGGACTCAAGTTTTAATACTCCTAAATAAAATATGAAGATAAATTCGATTTACTGGTAAGTTAGTAGATAATCGACAATTCAACTTTCAACACACTTAATTGTATAAAATTAAAAAGAACGTGTAATCTTTTAAGAGTAACATGTACAAATACTTAACTACATGTCTTGGCTAAACTAAAGAAAGATAGAGAATAAAAGAACAACTAAAATAGATAACAAAAACCAATCTCCAGTAACTTACTCTCACCACACCCTTATTAAAGGCAATGATTTTTAAAATAAAGTGCTTCACAAATAAGTCAAGAAAGCAGGTCCCTATGCAACTCGAGGTTGAGAACAGAAAGAAACATAAAATGATGCCACAGGCAATTACAGAAACATCGTGATACATCCATAATTTAGGTTCTTTTCCTCTATTTAATGAAGAAACCTACCAGAAACCCATATCACCTCATGAAAACTGTTCATAAATGGAGACCAAAACATAGCACTGCTATAAGAACTGCGAAAGCTTTCATACATCAGGCTCTCGCAATGCAGTAGGCAAATTTAGTTCTGGCTCAAGTTCACCAAGAGGAGAGAAAAAGCTATCAACCATGTCATCAGTTACTTGCTCCAAATTGGGAGGATCCCACTGAAATTTTAGATTTAATGTTGGTTATCAAGTTTTTCTATTTCTCACAAAGAATTTCACAACTTTCTGGTATGTTTAAATTCGATAAGCACCTTTGGAGCAAAGTCCTTGTCAACTAATCTTGCACGAATACCCTACAAATGACGAGAATTAGATATGAACATCACAAAATTGCTTCAAATTGAGTATCAGATAAAAGCCATACCTCAGAAAAATCATTTGACACCCGTTTGGAAATCCATTTCAGGGATATTCGATATTCCCTTGCCAGGCACTGATCAAGAGTTTGAAACCTACCTTCTCGAATCTATAAATTTCGCATGGAAAAAAAAGGTTGGCATCCCAAGTATAAAGAAAATCATAGAGTGCAAGCTGCTAGTAGCTTACTGATTGCAAAGTCACTTTTAAGCTCAATGGAGAAGCTTCTTTTAATTTTGTAAGCGCTGTGATACACCATTCACTATAAGACTCTGCTGCCTCAATTTCCTGCAAGAATCGATCCAAATTTCAATTGATGGCATAATTCTGCAAGTGAGAACCTAACAATTTCTTCATGAAAAGGAAATTCTAGCTAGTTTCTTTTCCTTGACAAGTGAATTTATTTTTAATTTTTCCAACAAGAACAAACAGAAAATCCTCTGCAGAAACTGTTCGTCTTAATCAGATCAGAGCTACTTCACTGCAAATTGAAAACGTTCAATTCTAATTTAGATCATCCCATAGATATGTCCACTACCCTAGAATAAATCTCTTTGGTTTTGTTAACACGCATTACTTCATGTTTGATCCACTATCCTCTTTATCAACTTTCAAAAGTTCAAGAAACGGTAAAAGTTGTCACATCCCCTTCAGGTTACTTAAGTTTCAAAATATTTTATATTTTTAATTCGCTTGGTAATTGTGTCTGGTCAAACCACAAGATGTTCAATGTCAACAGAGTATCAATACGATCTATTTGAGCATATCAAAGTTCATGTATCAGGTTCTTCCTTCTTCCATTGAAGTACTAAATGACATTCAGCAATATCCTTTTCCTTGCTTCCATATGTTCAGTAGTTAATTTATTGTGCGTGCTCTTCAACCAGAAAATAAATCCAAAACAAATCAATAACTTTAACTAACTTGAATGTAATCATTCATGACAATAAGCTTACCAAAGCATTCATGATCTCTTCCGCTGTATCGTGGCAGAAACATTTATCAATTGTTTCTAACCTGAAGAGAAGTGAAGATGCAGAATTTACAATCAAAGAGAAAAAAGATAATCAAATGCTTAATATAAATCATTCCCTGTAAAATGCACTGATGAAATGTGCCATAGGACACACCCCAGGGCAAGGTATAGATTAACTGCCCAGGGGCACACAAATAAAGAGTAACTTGAAGTACATTTACTTTTTGACTTAATGCATTCACTTCGTCTTTTTTACTTCAGGGAACCACATTTTCAGTGGGCCCACATATGATAATAGTTTTCTTCAACGTATTAGAACAGCCTAACAAGGTTGCAACTTGCAAAAAATATTTGATTTCATTGGATCTTAAAAATACACTCATGTAGCCAAGCCAAATTTATTGGGAATAAAGCTTAATTTACTGTTGAGATATTAGTAGGGTAATTTTCTAGTCTCTAATTGCTTTTCTTTATACAATGCATTCCTGTTTTGTGATCTTGTTCTCATTTTATAATTCTCTTGGCCAAGAATTTAGAACAAAATGGCCTTCATATATATAGAATCAAATAGTAAAAAGCAATGTTTTGAAAACTTGGCATTGACTCGAAAAAGTTCAAAAGTCAAAGGGTCAAAAAGTTCAACTGGATCAAACCAAGGTTGAAACGGATGCAATAACTAAATACACAAATAATAAAATATTATAACAACAATATTCTTTTAATTTTCATACTACTAATTCAAAGTAAATAGAAATTCCTTTTGGCTAATTAAAATTGAAACCGTTTGAGCTTATAGAAAATGATGTATAACATTATTATGTTAATAATGAAGTGAATTTTAAGTTAAATTTAAAAACTGAATAAATAAAAAGATAGAAGTGAAAATTTCTATTTACTTTTTGCTGAGCTCAGAATCTAAGTAAAATTGAAATTGAACATGTAAACATGGAAAATAGGTAACATGGGCAAATGAAAAGGAATCCCACATCGGTTGTTGATAGAAATTAACATGCACACATGGAATATAAGTATTTTGGGCATGAAAAGGAATCTCACATTGGAAGTTGTTGAAACATTTTGAAGAGGCTACATCTATAAAGCAGTTGGCAACCCAAATTACAATATAGGCCTTTCACTTCAATGCATAGCCCAATAGTGAAGTTAAAGATTTTAAATTAAAAAACCGAAAAATCGTAAATGGTTCATGGGTTAGTGTTTAACAGGCTGGTTTAGCAGTTTTCTAAATGGTATTGTTATATTCAGTTATTAGAATATAATCGACCAGGTTTTAGGCCAGGTTCCGATTTTACCTGTCCAAACTGCTTATAATAACATTGGTAAAAAGAGAAACAAGACATGTATAAATATTGAGAACCAGAAATGCAGAAAAATGAAAATGAAGAATGGAATGAAGTGAGGAAGAAGGGAAAAAGTATAAGAATGACTAATATAATTACTTGTGAAGAACACTCCTTTTATCCGGGTAGACTAAATCACCATATTGAGCAAGAGAATTTTCAATTTCTGAACGATCATCAGTAATCAATTTACCAAGGCGTTCTTCAATCCAAGGAAGCCTCTGTGAGGAAAAGGATATGTAACTTATAAAATGCACTCAAGTACAATAAACGAGCTGTAAACAGGAAAACAAAAGACTAATTTTCACAGGAAAATAAAAGACTAACTTCTTTCAGTGAATAGTGTGTAGCGAGACCACAAGCAATCATTTCCACACCATTAAGCTTGTCTCCAGTAAGTGCCAAATACTCTCCTGCAAAGATACAAGTTTAAACAATTAATTATTCCATATTCACATTAAAGCATAAGCCTAAGAGCATCTCCAAGAAACTCTTTATTTTAAAGAGCATCCTGATCATAATAGAGAGCATCTTTAAAGTTAAAGAGGATAATGTTTTATACACTTCAACAAACTCTTTATTTTACTTTCCCAACATTTATTTATTGCTTGTACTTCATTATATATATATATATTAGATGTCATTAGCTAAATATTTTATATAATATTAATAATATAAATAGTAAAGTACTTAAACTCAATGTTTGCTAAACAGCCAAACTCACTTTCTACTTTAAAAAGTTTCTTAGCGCTAAATTTATGGTTTGACTCTTTAAAATAAAGACTATTTCATTTTTAAAAAGCCTATTGGAGATACTCTAAGTTACATGCTCTAAATTATCTCTTGGTTACATAGAGGGTTGATCTAACTCATGGCTCAAGGACCACAATTAACCATTTGCAAAATAAAGTAGTTTACTAGTTTTAGTGGAGATATCCCACATTGAAATGAGAAACGTGCTAGGATAAAAATAAATAGTAAACACAATAGCAATGCGGAAACTATACAAATGTTATTGGGAGATACCATAAAAAGAAACAAACAAGCAAACAGAGTAATAGTATCTGCATTGAGAATATAGAAGTATATTCTGAATAAATTTTTCTCCCACTATAAACACTGGTATGCTGAATTTCAATCAATCTAGAAATTATCAAAATCAATGAAAACTCAGAATGTTTGTTCTGATCTTACCTAAATAGCCAGGAAGGCGAGACAAATAATACGAAGCCCCTGCATCGGGATGAAAACCAATTTGAGCTTCCGGAGTTGCAAAAACCTGGAATTAATTAGTTCACATTATTAAGTGTATAAGCCAAAGAAACCAGAACTCAAAGCAGATAGCTCGTCAAATTACACGTGAAATCATAAAAGTGCTATCTTTATCATTTATAAATCTTTCAGTCTTATTGAGATCCAGTAATCTTATCATTTCATGGGCTTGTTATGGTGGAGATGCTGTGATTACCACAATATTTAAACTTAATATGCAAAAAACTAAGCATAGAAAACAAAGGAAGCATACTGAAAAGATCCACCCAGAAAGCAGTTTCATACAGTTCTATCAGTTACAATGCGGAACATCCCGGGGAGCGAAATACCTGCCCCACCCCCCATTGTGATACCATCCAGGATAGCCACCTGCAAAAGTGAAGATGTAAGGACAAACCATTCAGTTTAAATAACAACCTAGCACATAACACAAGAAAAAGATACCCCTACCAAATAACAAATATTTGCATGAGATCAATCAGAAACCTACAAGAATAGGAGAAGATAATTGGCACTTAAGAATAAATTATTAATAAAATGTGAAGAGTATAACATTAGAAGCATAACTTAAGACAGAAAAGAAAGGTAGAACTGAAAACACTAATTTGATCACATCTGCTTATGCCTATTGCCTGAAGCCTATCTTCACATATTGGCACTCCTCGCCTATTATTACAAGTGACAACTGCCTTTAATATGGTAAAAGATGAAAACATGCCCTTTCTTGTCTGTCATACAACTGTTTCAAATTTAGTTGAGGCAACGTTTTTCCTAAGGGCTAATTAACTTCAATCGATGATATATTAATATTTATTTATGTACATTTATTTATTTTCATCATTCAAATCTCCCAGGACCCACAATCGTACCTTTTTTTTTTTTTTTTTTTTTTTGTGAATTTCCCAAAAGAAAATTTAAACTCTGTGGAGCCTTATCTATTCCATCTCTTGAGCTAGAAGAAAAATTCCCTCCCCTCAAACTTCATCCCTTTTTAGCCTAAATATGTGGCCCATATCTGGGATATTGGTTTAAAGGATATGAAGGCCTCCAACTTTTCCATGTTAACTCATTGCATGGATTTGGTATAAACATTGGAGAGAAGAAGTTAATTTCCTTCCTCTCCTCTACTTTCATTGCACAGGGAAAAACAAGAGTACACATATGGAAACTTAGTAAAGGTATGGAAATACAATAAACCCTAATTATATCTTGCCTAATCTACGTGTTTATTTCCTTAACATAACTAAACAAGGTTAGCACATTGTAGTATTATATTGGCATTATGTTGGTAACCCTCTTTGAAAAGTTCTAGAAGCAAAAACTGGGGATTAAAGCATTTTGCATGCCCGTCCCCACCAGCAACATGGTAATAGATGTACGATTGGTGAGGGGCAAGCATTAGAATCTGGCATAATAAATGGTAGGATCATTTAGCATAGTTACCTATATTTCTCCAATCAGATTCAAGTAAGAAGGTGATGTTATCAACTTCAAAAGCAATTGTTGGAAAGAAAGATACAATTAGAGATGGCACTTCAGGTTTTGAAGTTAAACAGGATTTTAGGTTTTGATAAGAGAAGTTTATTTCTAACTAGTAACAAATTTGAAGGCACTATACCAATTGCCAAGAATGGTTAATTCTCAGTTACATCCACGTCCCATTTGATTTTAGAGATCGGACCATCTAAAGGAACAGAAAGAACGTATATATTAGGAGCTCTAAAAGCTTTTCAAGATAGCATTAAACAATAAAAGACAAACCAAAACATCTAAAATTTCTTAAGAGCCGTTCTCTCTATAATGAAATCAGGAGCGGACTTCACATTATAAATTTATATAGACTTCAATGAATGCTGACACAAGGAAGAATAGCTCCCACTAAGAAGACTCAAATTTGACCACGAAACAAGTTCAAGACCATTTTAAGTTTCAACCAAAATATTGATTAATTAACAGGATCAGTTATGTAATATTAGTCCACAACTTCTGCAGCTTACCAGATAAGGTGGATCATTAAAACTGAAAAAAGAAAAACATTTTCGAAGGAAATAAAAGGAAAGACAGCAAACTCCTTTATTTGTTTTTTTGGGGGAAGAAATTACAATCTGGGATATAACAAATTAGATGAAAATGAAGATATCCGAGTAAACAGAAACAAAAAATACAGAATGAGTCCAATGTCAGTTTTCAACAGTTGAACATTTCATTTATATGTAGTAAACAGACAGATAGGACGAAAAATAGCAAAGAGAAATCTCAAACATCCCATATAGGATGTGGTTTTTCGACTTTCCAGGACTATATCATAATGAAGGTTACTCCCCAGTTGATTTTCAGAGTGCATTAACACCATTGTCATTTGCATTCTCAAAAACCTTCAGCAACTCATAAATTTTCGGTTTTATAAGTTTATGTTCAACATGAAATATGTATGGTCCTGGAGTATTGTACAATATTCAACATAGTACTTATATATCCATTAATTGTACAAGTGGAGAAGCATTCCAATAGTAGATTGAAGTTTACAACCTCCATTTTACACAACATTGATTTAATTTCCATGTCAGCATAGTAGTTTTTGGGGTTGATTGAGCTCACATACTCAGTTTACCACATAAAAACTCAATTTTTGTTACTCTTACGATAAGTTAAGAAGGTGATTACTCTGCGACTACCAAATGCATTTGTGCTACCTCATTGATGATGTCTTAACTATCAAGCAAAAATATTCCTCGGTGCTATATGATGATAAAACAGACATGTTTCATAACAAAATCACTCTTTGACCATTTTTTTCTACAAATCTTTCAAGTAGAAAGCATAGAGAAAAAAGAACTCACGTGTGGCTTCAGATATGTTCCCAGAACATATACAAATTTGTATAAAGTCTCAAAGAAAGCCTTACATTCTTCAGTCTTCCCTGGAAAGAGAAATATTCATGAGACTTCAGCAAAAGGATGTCAATTATCATATTGTGACATAGCAAAGTCATCCATCTTTAATTCATAAAGAAAGTACATTCATAGAGCAAGTGCTGAGGTAAAACATTGAGTTTATTCTGAATTGCCAATGTAGCTATGTACCTAGAGTACTTCATCAGTTAACCCAAATGGCGAAATAGAACTAATAAATCGATTTGAAGACCGTCCTCAACAGGCAGCAGAGGCTGCCCAGTACCACTAAATACAATGAAAAAAGAGAATTATCTAAGACAAAACAAAGAGGAGTGACTTAACCACAAGTCAAGTCACAATGAATTTGTTCATTATAAAATTTAATAAAGACAAAAAATTATAGAGATTTTACAAAATTCACCATTATGGGCTTGATACTGCTCGGTCTAAGCCCCCGTTTGACCCCCCATTAAATTTCATTTCATTTTTCTCTCTCCTATTTTCAACCACACAATCTTCCATAAAATAATATTACACGTAAATCGAAAACTTTTCCTTCTTTTTCAACCAATCATTTTTCAAAAAATCACTACTCCACTCATTTTCATATCCAAAAAATGGGGGCCAAAAGGGTGCTAAAAACTAAAAAGCTGAATTTGCTCTACTAGAAATGCCCCGACAGCAAGAAGCAGAGGTTACCGACCTTGATTAAGCCACTGATGCAATGTAACAACATCTGATCCAGAACAGAATGCCCTGCCGCTACCCTTCAATAAATTTAAACAGTGACTTAAGACTACTGCTAATACTACCAGTTGCAACAATATAGAAGATGATTTTAACCATAATGGGGAGGGTGGAGAGTTAAAACTACTGTATTACCTTCATCATGACAAATCCAATATCTGAATTATCCTCCCAAGACTCGTATAATCTATTTAAACGAGCAGCCTACAACATAAGATGAAATCCACCCATCATTACCCAAAATATGAACACTGAATACGAAAGGATAAAGCAATGGGATTCCCTTTCAAGACATCTATAATCGTTTAATACTGTGGAAACTAACAAGAATTTACAGTTTTTGCAAGTGGATATAAAGCATCAAAATTTTTCAAACAAAACCACGAACAAGAAATAGAAAGAGGCGCAGACCATGGATGTAGTGAGAGCATTGAGTGCAGATGGTCTGTTTAGTATGGCTGCCCTTGATTTGGCTCTCCCTTCAACTAAGACCTGTACTAACATACAAAAATAGATAAATGTATAGTAATTAGAATTCGATCTTTTTAAGCAAAGAAGATAAGCCTGCTTTATAAAAACAAAACTCAACACAGGGTTCCCCTCAAAAAGTATGCTACTCCATAAAACACAACATACATATCATTTATGCTCGTACTTATACACAGGCATTTAGAACTTGCCTCTTCTTGGAGATAGTCTAGTTGGGTATAACTGGGAAGTGCAGAAAAGTTTCGGTTTTGATAAAAAATAAAACCATATCTTTGTAGAGCACGATTCGGTTGTAATATGAATTTCAGTTTCTGCATTTTTCAATGGAAAATCAATCCCTCTGTATTTTAGGTATAATTTTCAGTGCGTTTGTGTTGCGGCCACTGGGTTTTCAAATGGGAATGCTGCTGCGTAGCACAATAGTGTGTATTCTATTAAAATAATTAAAATTTCACCTCTGAAGTTCAGACATGATATCAATTTGGTCCCTGAATTTCCAAAATAAATATATTTTACGTATGATTTTGAGAGAAGGTTGGGTGTCAATTTGGCTTGGGAAAAAAAATCATATTTAAGGTGCATTGTTTATACCAATTCAAAAGTGAGGTAAATAGTTTAAAAGTTCAAAATTCAGGTATATATATAATTAATTTAAAATATTTATTAATTAAATATAATAAAGTCATAGTTATAAAATTAATAGTCACAGATACATAAGTAAATGTTACAATTTATTTATCGGTCACATATTATCGAATTAATTAGTCACAAATTATTTCAAAGTCACAAATCAAAAATTGTATAGGTCACAATTTATTTTGAGATCACAAATCGAAAATTGTATAGATCACGATTTATTTCATCGGTCACAAATCAAAAAATTATAGGTCACAGTTCATTTGTCCATCAAAATTAACTAGGCACATATTATTTTTAATTGATCACAAATTAATTTTCAGTCACATGTTATTAAATTTTTAGGTCACAATTGAGTAATTAATCACATATGACCAAATAATTGGTCACATATCATCGTCACCAACATTACCGTCAATTGTGACCACTCTCTCCCTGCAACCATTGCCGCTACCACCACTATCACTACTGCATCACCGCCAGATCTACCATCCCCACTAATATCTCTACCTGCACAACTAATAAAAACCATATGAAACCCTTCCAAACAACACCAAAAGGACCCCAAACCAGTGCCAAATTCAATAAAACATGATAAAACGGCCACCACCACGATCACCGCCGCCACTACCACCACGATCTCCCTCAAAACACCA